TACAGGTGGCCCAGGTAGTCAGGTACAGGTGGTCCAGGTAGTCAGGTACAGGTGGTCCAGGTAGTCAGGTACAGGTGGTCCAGGTAGTCAGGTACAGGTGGTCCAGGTAAGTGAAGGTGGGCAGTAGATGAATGTAGTCAGAGTGAGCGAATTTATCAGATCATTGGGAGAAAGACCATGAAGAAGGTGGAACACATCATATACGGACTTCGCCCGTCGTCGTCACGGTAACAGCTGCGCATCCGCATCCTCCTCCTCCACGCAGCCTCCCACCGCTAACACTCACCTGCCACGAGACGAACACTCCGGAGTGCTCCGGCTGCCGCGTGTTCCCGGGTCCGGCCATCACGGCCGAGCCATCAAACATCTTCTTGTTTCCGACCGGGGTCAAGGTCAGGAGGTCGTGAGCAATGTTCAAGTAGGACTTCATCCTGGAGTTACCGGAGAAAAACAGCGTGATGTCACTCATTAATGATGACAAATTAATGATTGCAAATTAATGATTGCAAATTAATGATCTCAAATTAATGATTGCATATTAATGATTCAAACCCTAACCCTACTCTAGCTCTAAAGGGTATACATTACTGACTTTACGTTGTCAAAATAGCAAATTGGACCAACTTCCCAACTATACAACCGACAATCGGCAGTGTAAACGCAAAAGTCGCAAGACCAACCGATCGATAGCAACTAGTTGGGAGATTAGAACATGTTCTATTTTCGCCAACTCGGTGTTGCCGAATTGCGAAATTGGTCCAACTCGCCGATTTGACAGCATAAAGTCGGTAGGGTAAACCCAGCTTAACCCTGACCCTACCCTAGCTCTATCCCTGACCTCTATACCAACTCTACCCATAATCCCAATCCCGCATCCCTGACATTACAATTACAGCACTAATACACAATCTAGTCCATGACATTAACGCGCACAGATCCCTGCATGCTATACCGACCGCCCCCCCCCGCCCGCCTCTCCCCAACCCTCCACGCAGCCCCGCTCCCGCCCTCGCCCCCGGTCAAACTAGCGCGGCATGCTGCATGGCTGGCTGTACCTGACTCACCTATCTATGGTCGCCCTAAACAGGTGGTCCACACACCCGCTCCCCGCCCCGCCACGCCACCCGCCCCACACCGCCCCACGCCCTGCTGCTGTGTGACTCTTCACCTGTCCTATCCCTGCACGCAGTTCTACTCAGGTGTCGCACACCTCTCCCCCCCCCCTTCCCCGCCGCCCGCCGCCGCCCTCCGCCCACCCCCTGCTGGCTGTGTGATTCCGCACTCTGCTCTATTCGTCCTGCACGCTGTTCTACAGGTGAGATCGCGTGGGTACTCAGCATCGCAGTGATCACCGTCAGATGCCTCGCGCGGTCGTCCGCGTCGGCACGTCGCACGGCAACGGACGTGCGATCGGCAGTCTGCGCGCAGCCAGCTCCTGGTCGGCGTCTTCGTACACTGCAACCCGCGCAGCTGACGATGTGTTAGTTAGCAAACCGATTGCAGGCTGTTGTCCCGAAATCTCGCCCAAGTGTGGTGGTGTGTGTGGGCACTGTGTGTGTGTGTGTGTGTGCTGTGTATGTGCAGCATCCGTCTATGTTGTTGTGCACCCCTGTCTGTCCATCTGTCTATCTATCCATCCGTCCATCTATTTCTCATTCTCTCTTCATTCTTCCTTTCTCTCTCTCTCTCTCTCACTCTCTCTCTCTCTCTCTCTCCCTCCTCTGCTCTTCTCCTCTCTTGCTCTCCCTCTCTCTCTACGTCTCATATATATATATATAT